GGAAGAGGAGTGAGAGTGGGGAGATGTGTTGGGAAGATAAAGCAGAGAGCCCAAGTGCAAGGAGAGAATCTCGACCGTTTGATTATGTTGCATTATTCATGCAATTTTTTAGTGTATGATTTTCTGAGATTCCATCTCCGGGTCCCAACCTTAACCTAGGGGCGTTCGTCCGTCGATACGGTACGGTATTTAGATATTTCGGTTCGGTATTTTCGGTATTCGATTTCTTAAAATCCTATACCAATATTGTACCTAATTAAATTTGGTATGATTCGGTTTTTCTCCTTTCGATATCGGTTTATTCGGTTCGGTAACTTCGGTTTATTCGGTTTGAATACTAACTAGTGCATAGAGTCATACACTCTAATATTCCTAATTAAAGTACTCAAAATACAAAACTGAAAATGTTTGTTGACAAAAAATTTGTCCAAAACTAGCAAATATCAACCGAAATAGAGAAAATTGTACATAAAAGAATATTTGATCACTAGAAATGTCTTGTTACTTGTTTAGAGTTAATTGATGAATTTTGAGAATAAAGGAAAGTAAAATTTTAGATTTTTTATATTTATGTTATAATTGATAATATGTGTTTTGTGTAATATAATATCTATTTCGGTATGGTATCGGTATTTCGGTATTTTATTTTAAAATACCAAATATTATACCTAATACCAATATTTTAAAAAACTTAAACCAAATACCATACCAAATACCAAAATACCGTATACCAAATACCAAAATTTTTGGTTTCGGTACGGTAATTCGGTATTTACCAAATTATGCCTAGCCCTACTTAACCCTCCTTGAATAGTTTTTTAATTTTATTTTTAAAAATGATATATTTTTCTTTCTAAAATTTATTTACTTTTACTATTCACTTTTCGTCAACCGTAATAACATGATAATGTGCTCAGCTTATTTTTTATAGGGGTGAAAATGAGAAGACTTGAAAAGCTTTCACCACCATTTACTTAAAAAGAAATAACTGAACTTCTCATAAAATATTTCAAATGTCAAAAAGTTTCTTTAACTTTTTAGAATTCGTGTTCAATCAAACTCTTTGACATAAAAATAGGATTGTGGGAGTACCTTTTTTATTTTCTAGATTTGATTCACTCAGTTAAAGCAAAAAAGATACTAATAAAAAATAATCTCCAGTAGTATATTAGGGAAAGAAATGGGCTTGGACTTGGGCTTGTGAATCTATTTCCAAAGAGTACTATGACAATCGGATGTGATTGGTCAGTGGTCCTAAAATATAAAAGAGAAAATGAACTTTTTTTTTTTGGATAATTGCGCCGGTTTTCAAAAATAATACTAGCTAGGTGTAATATATATATATATATATATAATATATTATAATATATTATTATAATATTATATATAGTTTTTTATATTTTTGACTAAGGGAGGTAATTATTTTTGATCGAGCGGCCAAACATGTAACTTGTCCTTTTTCTGTTCAATTAAGATTGAAACTTTGATTTCCGTTTTTAGATCTCTTTTATTTTTTTCTTTTCGAAAGGAAAATTCCGATATTTATTCAAAAACTTGGGTAGCATATTAAATTTTGATATGACATAATATGAATGGAGAAATTGTCAATGAAGTGATGTTAAATAGCAAAACTTGTATTCCGTGGAAGATTTAAATTCATGTTCAATCAAGTCGTCTCATTAAAACAAATCCAAATTAATGAATGATCAACAGTTCAATACTCAAGAGAGTGCGACACTTCTAAATACTACTACTATACTATAGTCCGCTTGGAAAATAAGAGAAATAAAACAAGATATAAGCAGTTAAAAGGGACATTGGACGAATCATGTGAATCAACAATATTTGATTTCTGAGGAATCTGATTATAATATTTACAAACGCTTTGAGTACACATAGCGTACGTTGACTCAAATTAAAGCCAAAACTCTTATCTGTACCACATGATTCAAGGTTATGTTTTTTTTTTTTTTTTTTTTTTTTTTTTTTTTTTTTTTTTTTTTTTTTTTTTTGCATGAACTATTAAAATGCTCACTTTTTTTTTTAACATTGCTATAAATTGTAACTCCACATTTTGCAAAAAAATTGATAACCTGTAGATCGTCGTAAATTTTTTTGATACAATTTTCCTCGTCCACTGGACATGAATCATCATTTCCTTTGCATTATTGCAGATATACGCTTGTTTTTCTCTTTATCAATTTAATCATCAGTATCAGGAAGTCTCCATTAACCCTATTTATTCAAATTCATGTTAAGTAGGCCTATTAAAAGAATAAAGCATTGTTACGAAACTTTTACTATCTTTAGAGTTCAAATCGAAACCTTTAATTTAAGGCGATGAGATTTCAACTATTTCACCAAGTCCCGGGAATATACTAATAGCTTATAAAAGTAACTTATTTTGATAAGTATTTTTATCAAAAGTACTTTGCAAAAAAGTACTTTTTGTGAAAAATAATTTGTATTTGAAAATTGTTTTGGAGATAAACTATTTTCCCTGCTTCTAAAAAATTCTTTCTACTTATATTTGAAAGCATTGTTTTTTCTAAAAGCTTGACCAAATACTTTATTTTTGGCATTAAAAAAGGAAAAAAAATAACATTGTATAAATACTCTCAAAATAATAACCATATATATATATATAT